TCTGAGATATAGCAAGCATAATATTATACGCCATTCATTCCGGGAAAATAATAAGAATAATAAGGGTTAATTTCACAAACGGTCACTGAACTTACCTCAAAATTACAAAACGATCACTAAAGTTTCATGCGCTTTCACAAACGGTCACTGAAGGACCGTTATGATTTTAATTCAAACTTAAATGACCAAAACACGTGAACATAGAATCTTGAGGACCTCAAGTGCAAAAAACAACTCAAACCCTCCAAAACCCAAAAAAAATCACCCCATTCCCTCATTCGATCAATCTCCTCCAAATTCGTCCTCATTCGTTCGAAATTGGCCAAGACCCATATGTTCGGTGGATGCGCCATGGTGGGCCGGTGCTAGGGGTGGTGGTCCTCCACCGTGAGTTGAACTTCGTCACCGAAATTCGTGGTTGAAGAGGCCGACTGCGCTGTGGAAAAAAAAAACTTTGCATCTTTGGATTTTTTGATTTGTTTGATGTTATGAGGGCATCTGTAGGTGTGTAATAAGAAGATTGATTGACCTGTGGGGTGGGTACGACATGGGTGTCGCTGGAAGTTAATTTTCCAACCAGTTGTTGGTGCGTGTTCATCTAGTTTTGGTTCGACTTTCATATCAAATTTATCGGGGTTGAGGCTGGTGGTTAGGTGGGTTTTGAAGAGGGTAATGAGGGCTTCAAGGTGATATGCTGGTCTGGCGACCAAGATGACCGGATGTTGTTGGGTTTTTGGTTGTCCATAGTTGGTGACCGGAGTTGACAAAGTGTTTTGATCCCCATTTTGGTGCGATTTTCCGGCCAATTCCGACGGGGTTAAGGCCAGTGGTTGGGTGGGTTGTGAAGAGGATATTGATGACTTCAAGACGGTATGTTGGTTCGGTGGCCAAGGTCGCCGGAGGTTGGANTCCGGCCAATTCCGACGGGGTTAAGGCCAGTGGTTGGGTGGGTTGTGAAGAGGATATGGATGACTTCAAGACGGTATGTTGGTTCGGGGGCCAAGGTCGCCGGAGGTTGGAATTACGATGGTCCAAAGGTGGCGGGTTGAGAGAATTTGGAGGAGGGAATGATTTTGGGTTTTAGATGAAATTTGCACTTGAGGTCCTCAAGATTTTATGTTCACGTGTTTTGGTCCTTTAAATTTGAATTAAAATCATAATGGTCCTTCAGTGACCGTTTGTGAAAGAAATTAAAATTTCAGTGACCGTTTGTGAAAACGCATGAAATTTCAGTGACTCTTTCTATAAATTTTAAACTTCAATGACCTTTTTTTAATTTTGAGGTAAGTTCAGTGACCGTTTGTAAAATTAACCCATTTGTAAACTTGTTAAACAGTAAAAACCATTAAAAATTTCTAAGGATTTGAGTTTTTAAAAAAATGGAAGAAGAAAAAGAAGTACGACTAAATTCATTATGCTGTCCATTTTTGTGCCTTTAGTCTAAATTCATGGCCTCGCAGTTAATGGCTACAGAATCTACTCTCAGACCCAGATTACACTTCAATTCTTGTGAACGAAATTCCATTTTCTCGCGGCTCAGTCAAGAATCAAAACCCGAATTTCAAACCTTGTTTTTGAAATTAAAAGGTATGAATTATGAACCAAATTTTACGTTTTAGT